CATATAATGTATTATTTGTTTCAGAGGTACAGGTCTGTGATTTATCAGTCTTACACAATTCACAGCGCTCACCATAGCACATACCCTTCCCAATGTCTATCACCCAGCCACCCCATCTCTCCCAGCCCCCACCACTCCAGCAACCCTCAGTTTGTTTCCTGAGATTAAGAGTTTCTTATGGTCTGTCTCCCTGTGTGGTTTCATCTTGTTTCATTTTTTGGTAGAGTATGTTTTCAAAAGCTTATTCACCATCTATCTTCTCTGTGAGGTGACTATTAAGGTCTTTGGTCCATTTTTCAATCTGGTTATTTATTTTCTTCTTATCGAATTTTAAGCACTCATTGTATATTTTGAATAACAGACTTTATCAGATTGTCTTTTGCAAATATCTTCTCCCAATGTGGCTTGTCTTTTTGCTCTCTTGACACGGTCTTTTGCAGAAGAAAATGTTTTTATTTTAATGAAGCCCAGCTTATCAACTTTTCATGGATTGTCTTTGGTGTCATATCTAAAAAATCATCACCACTTCAATGTAGAGAACAAACTGATGGTTACCGGAGGGGAGGTGGGTGGAGGGATGGGTGAAATAGGCAAAGGGGAATAAGGAGTGCACTTGTTGTGATGAGCACTGGGTGATGTACAGAATAGTTGAATCACTATATTGTACACCTGAAATAATATGTTAACTATACTGGAATTAATAAAAATAAATACATACATACATAAATACATAAATTATTCACACTTACCAGCCCCTTAAATAAATGCTTGATAATGCCAAAAATAGTAACAATAATAAATTTAATTTAATTAAAAAAATTAAAAGTCATCACCAAACCCCCAAGGTCACCTAAATTTTCTCCTATTTTACCTTCTAGGAGTTTTATAGTTTTGCATTTGATGTTTAGGTCTGTGATCCATTTTAAGTTAATATTTATGAAGGTCTGTGTCTAGATTCATTTTTTTTTTTGCATGTGGATGTCCAGTTGTTCCAGCATCATTTATTAAAAAGAAAATCTTCACTCCATTGTATTACCTTTGCCCTTTTGTCAAAGATAAGCTGACTATATTTATGTTGGTCTATTTCTTAGCTCTCTACTCTGTCCATTGATTCATTCTTTTGCCAACACCACACTGTCATGATTAGTGCAGCTTTGCAGTAAGTCTTGAAATTGAGTAGTGTCAGTCCTTCAACTTTCTTCTTCTCCTTCAAAATTGTGTTGTCTACTATGAGTCTTTTGCCTCTCCCTGAAAACTTTAGAACCAGTTTGTCAATATCCACAAAGTAACTCCCTGGGATTTTGATTGAGATTTCTTTGAATTCCAATATAGATCAATCCCAATATATGTAAATCAAGTTGGGAAGTACTGATATCTTGACAATATTGAGTCTTTCCATCCACAAATATAGGATATTTCTCCATGTATTTAGTTGATTTGATTCCTTTCAACACAGGTTTGTAATTTTCCTCATATAGATCTTATACATATTTCATTAGATTTACACTTAAGTATTCCTTTTGGGGGGATGCTAATGTAAATGATATTGTATTTTTAATTTCAAATTCCCCTTGTTCAATGTTAATATATAAAAGAGCAATTGACTTTTGTATGTTAACCTTGTACCCTGCAACCCTGCTATAACTGCTTATTAGTTCCAGAAGTCGGGTTTTTTTTTAAGACTTTAAGTAATCTCTGCACCCAGCATGGGGCTCGAACTTACAACCCTGAGATCAAGAGTCACACACTCTACTGACTGAGCCAACCAGGCGCCCCTTCAGGAGTTTTTTCGTTGATTCTTTTGGATTTTCTACATACACAATCATGTCATCTGTGAACAAAGACATTTTTACTTCTTCCTTCCCAATCAGTATACTTTTTATTTCCTTTTCTTGTCTTATTACTTAGCTAGAATCTCCTAAGTAAATGTTGAGTGGTGAGGGGGAACAGTCTTGCCTTCTTCCTGATCTTAGTGGGAAAGCTTCTAATTTCTCACCATAAAGTATGATGTTAGTTGTAGATTTTTTTGTTGATATTCTTTATCAGATTGAAGAAGTTCTCCTCTATGCCTAGGTTGCTGAAAAATTTTCTCATGAACTCGTGTTGGATTTTGTTAAATGTTTTTCCTATTATCTATTGATATGATCATGTGATTTTTCTTCTTTCAGTTACTGATGTGATTGATTACATTAATTTTTAATATTGTACCAGGCTTGCATATCTGAGATAAATCCCACTTGGTTGTGGTGTATAATTCCTTTCATATATTGCTAGATTTTATTTGTGCCATTCTATTGTGGTTCTCCTATCCACCTGTCTGTCTCCAATTTTAGGGGCAACGGTTTGCACCATGACTTCTCTTTTTTTATGCATCTAAGAAGGAACTGTTGATTTTTCAGTTTGTTCAGATTTTTACTTGTTGTTAGGATGGAGTAGCTTCTTGCAAGCTGTTTACATAGAATTGATTTAACTGAAAGTCTCCATAAATACTTCAATTATATTTATTAGTAATATTCGCCATGTGGGTGAAAGTGTCCTTGGAGTAAAAATGATAGGGGTCAAAAAACTGTACTTCTTTGATTTACAGAGATTCAGTTTTGACCTAGCTTTTAAAGAATAACCTGTCTTAACCCCACCCCATTTATGAAACAGAAAAGGATTTGTTCCAATCTACTTACAAGGTACAAGCATATGAAAGCCAACACGGTGGTTCCAATCATTCTGCTTGGGAACTGAAAGCAGGGGTCCCACTCATAGATTCTGGTTTGGAACCAGGACTTTTTAGTCTCCCTGTGAATGAATAAATAACAAGAAAAGAGAGGCTGTGGTTGGTAAACAAATGTCTGATTCTTCTGAAAATAACCTCATTGTCTCTGCTTATTCTTAGAATGTAGTGAAGAGAAAGAATACTGGTAGATTCCAGTTTTCATTTTCCCCTCATTCTTAAGAACAGAGACTCAGTTTTACTCAATACAGCAATTCAGCAAACTAAAGGGCTATCGCTCCCGACTTTCTTACAGCTAAGGGTGAAAGAGTAAGCACAGGCCAATCAGATGTGACCACAGTGTGGGATGGCACTTTGGGGGAAGGTGCTGAGGTAGAATTGACACAGCTGGGAGGGACCCCACTGCCCTTCCTTCTTTTCTCCTGCCCACTGTCTAAAACGCCGACACGGTGGCTGGTCCAACCTGGAGCCCACCCAGCATCTATCTTGGATGTGGACAATCACCAAGAATGGCAGCAGAAAGACAGATGATCAGCAAACTTCCATGGTGGGCAGTCCAGGGTCAGTATGAACTGCCTGCCTCCAGAATTCTTCGACATGAGAAAGAAAGAAATCTCCCTCTTGTGTGTCCCACTGTTATTTTGCCTTTTCAGCTACACATAGGCAAATGTAGTTCTAACCAAAGTATGAGCTTTGCCACTGAACGACCTTGGACTAGCCACGTCCTTTCTCTGGGGCATATCCCCTTGGTACATGGTGGCAGTAGCAGGACTAGGTCACTGAAGACCAGTGCTTTTGCTTGGCCATGAGCTATGTCTTCTTGTATTGGTAACAGCACAACAGTCTTTCTCTGGGAACCTGCTCCCTCCCATCAGTCCTAGCGGTTAAGTGAGGCTGAACCACGTCCTAGTTCCAACGACGAATATGTGACAGGCTTAATAATCCATTTACTCTAATCGCCTAGCCACAGTAATTAGTTTTGGGAAGACACGTGGTCCAATGTGATCCAATGAATCACAATGGGAGTTTGGTTTGAATTATTAGAAAAGAAAATTTCTTTTTCCTGTGAGCTTAAACCAGGAGGGTATAAGCTTAGAGATTCCGGGGGCCACCATGGGAAGGAAGCCCACCTCACTACAAGGCTAACACACATCAAAGCAGAGCTAAGAGAAAATGAGGGAACTCGCCCTGGTTCTGATATCAGTGAAGCCCCTGGATCCATCTGCTTCTGAGCTGACCACCTCTAGGCTTTCTTGTTAAGGAAGGCCCCACATTTCCTTGTTCTCTTTAATCTAGTTTGATTTGAGTTTCTGTCATTAGCCAACAAGAGTCCTGACTACGCTGTGCCTTTCCAGTCGTCTCAGGGCTCGTCCACATGGGCGCAAACACAGAGGGGCAAATGAGGCACCCCGGGGCTTACTGCAAGGGGGGCTTCCTCAGGAGACGTTTGACATGCTGTGCCTGGTGAACTTCCAGGAAAGGCTTTTCTTCCTGTGAGAAAAGAGACAGGTGTATGCTGGGGCTCACAAATCCTTGTGACAGGCTCTGTCACAGAGGCCAGGAATTTGGGGGAAGCCACTCTTCTGGATGGAGCAGAGGTTAAGAGAGAGCTTCAACAACTGAACCCTCTGGTTGCAGTTCCCGCTCTGCTCCAGACCAGCGACGTGACCTTAGGCGATACAACCCACCTCCCCGGGGCCATGTTTCCTCACGCAGAATGGGAGTAGTAAACGTAGTGCCTCCCTCCCAGGGCAGCTGCGCAGACCAGCCCCGCAGGCACACGCACAGGGCTCCCACTCGGGACTCACCATCTGCAGCTCCCAGCCCAGGTGGACCCTCAGAGACTTGACAAACATATGCAGGAAGCGGCCCAGCAGGAAGGCCAGGCACAGCAGTGAGGGCCAGTAGAACAGGACCCTCTCGTACCTCCCCAGAAACTGCAACCGAAGCAGAGCATGGGGTGCGGGCTGTCACTGGGCCAGGGCCGGGCCACCGGTGAAGCTGTGGATGCAGATCTGCCTGCCCCAGCCCACGCCCAGAGCTGGGCGGCCAGGGGTCCATCTCAGCTCCCCCAGTCCCACACCATGGGACCAGCCGTGGCCCACAGTCCAGCAGCCCTGGGTGTGAGTCCTAGCACCCCCATTTTATTTTATACAAAGGGCTTTCATGGCTTCATCTGATCAGGGATTAAATATTGCTACTTTTGGAAAATACACACAACAGAGAGGGAGAGAGAAAGAGGGGTAAGGAGAGGAAACAGGGAGGGGAGCACCAGAGAGGAGAAAGAGGGAGAGAGTAGAGAGAGAAGGAGAAACAAAAAGAGAAGGAAGAAAAAAAGAAGGAAGGAAGAAGGGAGGGGGGGAGGGGAGGTTGGCAGCAACACAAGTGTCCAAAAGCACAAGTCTCTTGAGATGGTGCTCATAGTTTTTCTGTGATTTTAGTTTCATTTTAATGAAAGAAAACACACACACACACACACACACACAGAACTTTTGTCACTGTTTTAGGACAAATAATATTGTGACTTATCTTTCATAATTTAGTGGTGTGGTTTTGTGGGATTTATTTTTTTAAGATTTATTTATTTATTTCAGAAACAGAGAGAGTGTGTGTGTGAGCAGGGGGACGGGCAGAGAGAGAGGGAGAGGGAGAGAATCCCAAGCAGACTCGCAGCCCAGTGCATAGCCAGACGCGGGGCTCGATCCCATGACCCCAAGATCACGACCTGAGCCGAAATCAAGAGTCAGACACTCAACTGACTGAACCACCCAGGTGCCCCGGTTTCATGTTTTTTTTATTTCCAGAGCAATTGCCCCCATGGAGAGTCGGGTTTTGATGTTGTGCTGTTCTGGGGCAGGACAGAGCATGCTGAGATGCAGGGGCTCATGTCTCCCCTTCATCCTCCTCTCCAATGTCTGCTCACCACTTAGACATCAGACATCACCACTGCCAATATTCCAGTGTCTTTCCTCTGTATCTATCCTTACATCTGTATCTATTATAAATTGATATTATACCAAATACATAGGCCTGTACACATCACAGTCAGCTCCCCACATGCTTACAAATTATTTGCATATGTCACTTTTAATGCTGCATAATAGTGCATTGTTTAGATGAACCAATTTTATTTAAAGTTTCTCCTAATATTTGACATTTTAGACTTTTCCAATGTCTCATTTTTATACATAATGTTTCCATGAACACATTTGAGAACATGAGATGAAATCTTTATAATTACCTTAGTCTGAATTTCAGTCCCTTGGTTTTTAACTTGTAAGTCCCATTAGCCCCTGAGCCTCACTTTCTTGTCAGTGAGCTGGGGACAGCACTAACACACAGCCTTCAAAGTGCCTTGAAGCACCCTGAACTATGCAACAGTTGATCTGGGGGGCTGAGCCTCGAACAACACCTAGCACATAGCAGTTCTTAACGTTAGTGATTCTGAGCATAGAGTAAGACCCTGCCCTCTCCCTTAATTAACCACGAATATTTCAAATTTCAGAAGAACCTCAGGAAGACCGGAAGCTCTCCAAGGTACCAAAGAAAATGCCTGTGATCTAGACTCTCTGGCACCATGAGCAGAGTGGAGGGCATCTTTCTGGGCAGAGGTATGCTAGAACGTTCTTAATCCCAGCACAGAGATGCAGAGGGAAAGCCCAGCCCCCAAACTCATTTTCCAATCCAGCTCCTCCAGACTCTCTTCATCACACCCTGTAGTCTCCACAGTGAGTGAAGCCTAGGAGAGACTTTGGAAGGCTCCCATCGGCTCCTAACCCCAGAGGCCCACGGTGCTCCCCCCACCTGCCTAGTAACTCTTCTAGATGCAGTGTGACATGCTCTTTCATCTTGCTCCTTTTTGTCGCATACAAGGCCAAAAGATGAACCAGTTCCCCCCAATTCCAAGAAGGACAATGCATGGCAAAGCTGGAGGGTTCATCCAGTCCTAGTCTCCCATTTTATAGACAGAGAAAGTAAGGCTACATGAAGGAATGGAAAGAAATGAGCTTTGGAGTCAGCCAGACCTGGTCTCAACTCTTGAATCTGCTACTTCTGAAGAGTTACTTAATACACTTGGCCTCCGTTTCCTCACCTGTGAAATAGGTCTGCTGAGAGGTTCCCCACCTTGAGGGACTGCTGTGAACATCAACTGAGAGAACGTATGTCTGTGGATGAGCACCTTGATGAACATAAGGTGCTGTACAAATGGAAGCATCATGAATGGCTCCAACTCTCCTGTTCACACGAGGGAACTGAGGCCCAGAAAAGTGGCAGGGGTTTGTCCAATGTCACACAGCAAACTGGTCACGGTGACAGGACTGAATACTCTACACATAGATCAGCGGGGACTCACCTGCCCATGGGGACACTCTGTGATGTAAAGGACAGTGACAGCAAACCTGCAGGACAAAAACAGGGTTTGGGGTACTGTGACCGCTCCCAGCATGGTCCCTGTAAAGAAGCCCAGATCCCATCAGCCTGGAGCTACCTCCCCTTTCCTTCCTCCTCGGGAGGGCTGGTGCCCAGGCTTCCATGTACCTCCCTCCCAGATCAGGCACCCTGCTTATGCTAAAGTACGTGCACCAAATTCATCTCACATGCCCTCGGATAGGACACAAACCCGGGATCCACACAGCAGAGCACAAGTCCATGAGGGAGCTCCTTCTCCCTGCCAGGGGCACAAACTGAAGCCTGCAGAGGGAAAGGAATCTGTCCAGAGTCACACCTGGAACCAGGACTGAGGCCCAGGTTTCCCAACCCTGGTGTCCACGCTCCTTCTGCCCCTCCTGGCCTCGTCTGGAAACAGTGCCCTGAGGAACGAGCCTCGAGGCTTTAGCCCCCGACACTGTCCTGGTCACCTTCCAGCCCGATTCATCTCCCAGGGAGTGCAGGCTGCTGAGTGAGTCCCCCCACCATCTCCTCCCCGGGGCGAAGGTTTGTCAGAGGCCAACAAGATGGTACTATTACTCCACGTCTAACCCCAGATATACTCTCTTTTTATTTTATAAAGCGAGCCGTCTACAGACTTAGGAATTGTAGCCCCTGGTGCGTCAGCTGCTTGTGAGCCCCCGCAGTGCCCTGCACGCGGGCCTCAGGACCCCTGCGTCACAGAAAGTGCTGCAGGGGGGAAGCCAGCTTAGTGAGGTGGACAGAGGCACGAAAGCAGAATGCTCGTGGGATTATTCAGGCAGCAAGGACTCCTGGGGCTGGTCCCGTGCCAGTGCTGAGGGCAAAGAAATCAACAGGAGGGTTAGGAAGTTCTCCATCTATGGGGTCGGCAATCCATGAAGGATGAGCTTGTAGCTACCACCGGATCGAGTCAGGGAAGATAATCCACAGGGGGAACAGCAAAATATAGACAAAGAGGCCAGAAAGCATGACCCACAGGGGCTGTCTTGTTCTCTAGCGTGTTCCCTGGCTCAGAGCGAGGAGATAATAGCATGTTTGCCGAGTAAGTGGGTGGATGAAGGAACGCAGGAGTCTAGTGTGACCGGAGGGTGTGTGCTGGAGACTGGGGGGGATAGAGAGACAGGGGAGGCCACACCGCAGTGGCCCTAAACGTCAAGCTGAGGTGCATGGACTTTCCCCTGGGCTCCTGGGGGAGACATGCCAGCACAGAAGAGAAGCATCCAAATGGGACTCCTGCATTCCCCAACTGGGACCCTGGGCAGTTTACAGAAATGAAGTTTGCTACATCGCTGACTTCGGGGAATATTCTAATCACAAGTGGCTGTGAAGCAGAAAGCACGCTGGCCTGACCTTCTGCAGCCTAAAGTGCAGTCCCACAGAGAGGCCACAGTGGGACCTGGGACCAGTCACCCCACCTGCCCATCGTGAGCCTCAGGTCTGGGCAAAGAAGCCCTCCATGGGGAGCTCGCAGGTCACCCCCAGCCCTTTGTCCAGAGGTCAGCCACAGCCGAAGGAGTCACAGGAAGGCAGGCAGGCAGCATCCGTCTTACCAGATCAGAGAGTAGCTGAAGCCGAGGATGGAGCTGAGCAGCTGGAACTCCGACGAGAGGCAGGCAAAGAAGGGGAAGTGGGACAGGCCGACTTCCATGCCTCCGATCAGCAGCACAAAGGCTGGGAGAGACAGGGCCAGAGATGCCATGAATCCTCTTCCACAGGCTCCAGGCATCCCAAGGAAGCTATGGGGCTTTACACCGACTTCCAGTCGCAGGCCTCAGGACCCAAGAAGATGAGAGGACAAGCCCCAGCTCAGCAAGGAGGAATGCGGGAATGCCTTTCACTCTTGCAACGGACCCTTCCTGGGACCTCTTCCATGCCAGGCACTGGCTAAGTATTGGGATGAAGACGACGTGGTCCCTGCCTTTGGGCAGCTCACACTATGAGGTGCAGGCAGGCCACATACCTGAGCAAACAGCAACCACCAAGAGTACAGCACTGCGAATGCACCACGGCAACACAAAGCGTGGTGATGTGTGTGCACAAAACCTCTCATAACCATCCTGTCCTTTCTACACAAGGCAATGATCATAGTCATTCTGCCACTGACCAGCTCTTAGAGAATCTAACAGGATCCAGGAAAATCTAATCGTGCAACACGACCTTCACAAAGTATCTGCTCTGAGCTGGCTCCAGAGCCAGACACTAAGGTTACAGGAGGAATGAACAAGCTTCTTGCTTTGAGATGCTTGCAGTCCAATAGAGAAGACAGGGAGGAAGGTGAGTGGTATGTTAACAGAGGCACAGTCAATCTGCTGTGGGGACAAGAAGTGGAAGCCCCTGACTTCACCTAGAGTCTGGATCAGGGAAGGCTTCCTGGAGGTGGTGACATTTAACAAGGCCAGGAAATACAAGCAGGGGTTTGTAAGATGGAGAGGAGAAGGGGGCACCTGGGTGGCTCAGTCGGTTGAGCGACTGCCTTCGGCTCAGGTCATG